AAAGTGCTTATATTTCTAGTAAAATCACATTAAAATCACCTATCTGAAGGACAGGCATTTGGTGCAGTGGTTAAGATGTTGCTTTAGATACCAACATCCCACATCTCCTATATCAGAGTACCTGGTTGGAGCCCCAACTCTGCTTCCAGTCCAGCTTCCTGCTAATATGCACCCTGGGAAGCAGCAGATGATATGGCTGAAATAGTTGAGTCTTGCTACCTTCATGGGAGTCCCAGATTGAGTCTTTGTCTCCTGGTTTCAGCTTGACCTGGCCCTGGCTGTTGCAGACATTTAGGAAGTGAACCAACCAATGGGCAATGTCTCTTTATCTGTCTCTCTGCCTTTCAAATAAAATGAAGAAAAAAAAAAGAAAGAAAAACACTAGGTGTCTATATAAAGCTAACTATTCATCTACTATTAAAAAAAAAAAATTGCCCATCTCTTTGGAGTTGCCCAGTATTGTAAGGCAATTAGAAAGCTGGCATTCTCTTTGCTGTGTCACTGTAAATTTGGCAAGCCCTGTGGAGTAATTTCAAAATAACTGTTCAAGTACATTTACACCCTATCCTAGTGTGTTGGTTCCCTGGATTGGCTTAAACTAGCTAAAGTTGATTGTCCCCAGTTCTGTTGCTAGAAGTCTGAAATCGAGGTGTCGGCAGGGTCATGGTTCTTCTGAAACCTGTAGGGGCTTCCTTCCTTGACTCTTCCTAGCTTTTAGTGATTTGCCAGCACTCTTTGTGATTATTGCTTACAGCTTCATAATTCCAGTTTGTCTTTGTTTTTATAATGTGTTTTTCCTGGGTGTCTCTGTGTCTTCGTGTAGCATCTTCGGATAAGGACACCATTCATTCTGGAATAGGCCTAACCTAGTCCAGGATGACCTCATCTTAGCTAATTAGATGCACAGTGACTTTTTTCTTTCTTCTATTATATGATGAAACACTGGAAGAAAGCACAAGAAATTAATAAAAGTGATTGAGGAAGGCCGGTGCCGTGGCTCACTAGGCTAATCCTCTGCCTAGCAGCGCCGGCACACCGGGTTCTAGTCCAGGTCAGGGCGCTGGATTCTGTCCCGGTTGCCCCTCTTCCAGGCCAGCCCTCTGCTGTGGCCAGGGAGTGCAGTGGAGGATGGCCCAGGTGCTTGGGCCCTGCACCCCATGGGAGACCAGGAAAAGCACCTGGCTCCTGGCTCCTGGCTCCTGCCATCGGATCAGCGCGGTGCGGCGGCCATTGGAGGGTGAACCAACGGCAAAGGAAGACCTTTCTCTCTGTCTCTCTCTCTCACTGTCCACTCTGCCTGTCCAAAAAAAAAAAAAAAAAAAAGTGATTGAGGAAATGAGAAAAGGGCAGATGGGGGCAGAGATATAAGATTTATTGTTTTCTTTTGTTGCTTTGGTTTGTGAATCATGTGAACATATTACCTATCTTAAAGATTCATACACCAAAAAGGTGTCATCCTCTTGAATTCAATAAAGAACCAATTTTTATGAAATTAACAGAGAATTAGTGTTGTCTTATAATCAACTTCCCATTTCCTTCTCTTTGTTCTCTAAAGCTTTGCTTAGTACTTGCAATTTTTTTGCCTATGTCTCTTGATTCAAGTGTCACATATCTGCCCTTGGTAGCATCTTTATAAATATTATTTCCCATTAGTAAAGAAATCTAATGATCCACCTGTTTCAGAACATTTGGTCAGATATACAAACAAAAGCCAGTAAGGCAGGCTCTGTCATTCTTTATCAAGAGGCTGTTATAAGCAATCATTTGATGAGCTTAAGGCAATGTGTGTTAAAGTGGTCCTAGAAGGAGGAGCCCAGGTCATGAGTCTATATTTTATCTATCTAAAAATTTAAAATATGATGTTAGAATATTAACAGCCTTCAATAGCACATTATCTGTAATTTCTTTTTCTCAGGAGTTTTCTTAGCCTTTTCCAAGTGAACTTGATGATCAACATAACTTGATGTATCAACATCAGAATGAGGAATTTTTTATTAAAAGTAATGAAGCGGAGAATTATGTCCTTTGTTTTCTTACCTTCCCACTAAAATGAGTTTGCATTTTTGATCTGGTCCCCCCAAGGGTCTAGAAATTCAGAATCAGTCAGTATTTGGAAATCTGGTCATCCAGCTGTCTCATCTTTTATTTCCTCCTCTCCATCCTACTGCCTTGTGTTTTTAGATTAGCATCTAGAAGGATGAGAGCAAGAAATATGCCACTGTCTTTGGCTTCTAAATAGTGTTGGTAAAACTAATGGCTAAGGAAATACTAATGTGGATAAAGGTAATGCTTTTCTTTGTTTGGGCAGATCAAGTTCATAGCCAAGTGAATCCTGACTCCTTTTATGATGGATAATCCATCATGAGCAGCATTGTCACATGTCCTCCTTTTCATAAGCTAACATTTGTTACCCCAAATATAAATAGATTACACACTTTTGTGTAAAAGGCAGTTATGTGATACCAGCTCTCCAGAAGTGTACAAGCTGAGCAGAGAATGTGTTGTATGTTTACGTGTAACACAAAGAAATTAACAGATGTCATTCTCAGAAATAATCAACCCAAGATGCAGAATTAGAGCTGGGAAAAAGTTGTCAAAAAAGGAGAGGGGAAGTTTGCAATGTGGAAAATATAAATTCCAACTGAACTAGTAGCGATATGTAGGAAAATGTAAGATAAAATCTAGAAACCTTAAAGCCAGGAAAACGTTAAGAAAAGGGAGGATGGCAGCAGGGCAGTGGAAGAAAGGAAGTCTATTCAGGAAGAGAACGTTCTCATGGAGTGGTCCAGCAAGGTGCACTTGAATTAAATCATAGTGCACTGCCCTAGAAGAAGACAGGCTTCACACTTAGTAGTAAACCTCCAGCAGCTGCTAGTTGCATCTGTCCCAACTTGTCCTCTGGGCACTAGAAACCCATTTGCCTGGCAGAGACAGCCATCCTATCTAAGCTGTGCTTGCCATCCTTGCTTTGAATATTCAAAGGACCCCAGCAACCTGAGTGGCTCTGCAAGTTGCAAGTCTGATTATCACCTGTGTGCCAATGATCCTTCAGATGTTTCCTCTTGCTGTTAGAAGCCCTCCCTGTCAGCATAAAGGCTTGCCCAGCTGGCGCTTCCTTTCTCTTCTCAGCTCCCACCTCTGCTCTCCCTGATTATTCTCCAGCCTTTGATCTTCCCTGTGTGGCTACCATGCTGCAGCTCCTAAGCCTTTCCAAACGCTCTCTGTCTCTGAAATTGCCCTTCCCTCTGCTGTTTAACTATAATTTCTTAGTATCCCCAAAATTACTCCCTCACTTATTCCCAAACTTCTTGCCAGCACGTATCATAGTTGAAGTTGGTTGTTTGTCTGCCGTCGTTCAATGGTCTCCTCCACTTAATTATAAGCTTTTAGAAGGAAGGAACTGTCTCACTTTTTGAACTTCATGAGCTTAAAGCCTACCTGTTGTGACTAGATGGTGGTTTCGAGTCATTTATCAGGGAAGCTGAATAGGGTATTGGTCAGTTTAAATATCACGTCCACTACTTCCAGGCTTTCTTACCTGTAGATCCCTACACATTAACACATTAAGAGGCCAGCGCTGTGGCACAGCAGGTTAAAGCCCCAGCCTGCAGCACCGGCATCCCCTATGGGCTCCGGTTCGGGTCCCGGCTACTCCTCTTCCGATCCAGCTCTCTGCTATGCCCTGGGAAAGCAGTAGAGTGTGGCCCAACTCCTTGGGCCCTGCACCCATGTGGGAGACCTGGAAGAAGCTCCTGACTTCTGGCTTCAAATCAGGTCAGCTCTGGCCATTGCAGTCATTTGGGGAAAGAACCAGCAGAACAGAAAACCTCACTCTCTCTCTGGCTCTACGTCTCTCTGTAATTCTGTCTTTCAAATAAGTAATTCTTAAAAAAAAAAAAAATGCAGGGCCAGTACTGTGGCACAGCAGGTTAAAGCCCTGTACTGCCGGCATCCCATATGGGCACCAGTTCGGGTCCCAGCTGCTCCACTTCCTATCCAGCTCTCTGCTATGGCCTGGGAAAGCAGTACAAGATGGCCCAAGTCCTTGGGTCCCTGCATCCATGTGAGAGACCTGGAATAAGCTCCTGGTCCCTGGCTTTGGATGGCGAGCTCCAGCCTTTGTGGTCATCTGGGGAGTGAATCAGTAGATAAAAGAACTCTTTCTCTGCCTCACCTTCTCTTCTATCTTTCAAATAAATAAATAAATCTTTAAAAATAAATAAATAAAATTAAAATAAAAAGAACATATTAAAGGGGCCAGCACTGTGGTGTAGTGGGTATAGCCACTGTCTGCAGTGCTGGCATCCCATTTGGGTGCTAGTTTGAGTCCTGGGTGCTCCACTTCCAATCCAGCTCCTTTCTAATGTGCCTGGGAAAAGCAGCAGCAGATGGCCCAAGTGTTTGGGCCCAGTGCCCATGTGGGATACATGGAAGAAGCTCCTGGCTCCAATCTGGCCCAGTCCTGGCCGTTGCTACCTTTTGGGGAATGAGCCAGTGGATGGAAGATTCTGTATCTCTCCCCCTTTCTGTATCACTCTGACTTGCAAATAAATACTTTTTAAAAATTACTGGTCATATAAAATTATCAACTTAAAAAGTAGCCTGCTATAGATGTATTAAATTTTGAGTCCTACTTGCAGTTGCCTTGGCATGTTCAGGCCAAATGATTTTGCTCACAGGCGGGCATTTCCTACCCTAGCTTTAGGTAGTTCAAGGAGTAGTAGTTCCTTTGCCGCCCTACAGGATCTTAGCTCTCCTTAGCTAATTCCTGTTAAATAAAGGAAGATTCCCCACAGGTAAGAAAACTCTGTTGATCAAATAGTGCCTCAGATCTGTTTTATTCGTGAATGGTGGCATTTGGGTGCAAATCTGCCTTTGTGTACAGCTGTACTTTGACATACAGAAGGTGAGGAGGGAGATGAGCGGGGAAGTGAGTGCAAAGTAAGTGGGACAGTGTTTGTTTATCCATGACAGTTTATTTTCTTTTTTTTCCTGTGAAGGCAATTGACCGAGACCTAAGCTTCGAGCTTGTTTATAGCCCTGCTATCAAGGACTCCACAGTAAGAAGGTACACAATTTCCAATGCGCTCAATTTGATGCAGATCTGCAGAGGAAAGGTATGGTTCTGTGCTTTTAGGACATTTTTCATATCTGCCAGTTTGTTAATAATTCACTAGAATTGGCAAACTGATGACTTTTTTCTTAAAGTAGGGAGCTCTGAAAGTACAGAAACAAATTCTTCCACTTCAATGAGCTCTAAGAATTAGAGGGAAAAAATATCAGGGAAAGAATAATGTAGGGAGGGGTGGAGGGACACGTGTTGAATGCCTTTCTTTTAATAAGGAATCTTCAGTTTACTATGAAAGGAATAGTCTAGATAACAGTTGTTTGTCATCAGTGAGTTGATTTAAAGTGATTAACCATTTTGACTAGTTTTTAAACTTAATTCATCTTCATCAAGATTTGTTTGGAAAGCTTATTGTGTTTTTCTGTTATAGGCTGCCTTTATCATTTGACTTTATTTTTAAAACAAGTTGGCATTTGGTATTTCACTTTAATCATTTATCTTTTAAAGAAGTTGGTATTTGAGCCTTAAATGTTAAAGTGTGATTCCTAGTTACTCGTTATTCATTTCAGAAGACTTGTCCGGTTTCTTTTACATTCATCTAAAATTAATAGTAAACACTCTTATTTTGCAGAATGTAATTATATCCAGTGCTGCTGAAAGGGTAAGTCTAGCATGAAGCTCCTTGTTTTGGTTTTTTAAGTTAGAAAACATTGCTAACTTCTAGGGAGGAATTCAAATAGTGATGTAATGAATTGGGTATTTTCTATTTTAACTGTACATTTGCTCATTGTAATTGTTGAAGAGTAGAACTTACCCCATTCATTTTGGGCATTGTCTTTATAGAATTAGTTTTCCTTTATGGTGTTATAAAATGCTTTGTAAGGTTTATAATTTCAAAAACTTATAAACCCATCAAAATTATAAGAACTTAAATTTATGTAGTTGATGTCCTTGTTTTTGGATATTTAAGTATCTATTAATTTACTCAAATTAAGTCACTGACATGTCATAAATAACCTCTCATCTGTTTTTTTCTTCATTTTATTTTTTAGCCTTTAGAAATAAGAGGACCATACGACGTGGCAAACTTGTATCCTTTTCTGAGAAATTGTCGGAATTTTCTCTTAGAAAACTTGGAATTTGAAGTGATTATATTTTATCACAATATTTTTCTCAACCTTTTCATGTAAATTTGTGAATTAATAGCTTCAGAAACATGTCAGTTTGTAAAGAGCTTCATCCTTCTGTTTTTCAGATTAAGCCCGAGACAGAAAGGGAAATGAGGGACTCTGTGTGATAAAAGCTTAGAGTTAAATTAGCCACCTCTTCCCAGTAGGGCTAGGAACTGTTCTAGAACTGATGAGTCTCCCTCAGGTGAGCTGGCAGTTTCCGTTAGGTTTGTGTTCGTCCTGTGAACTTGACTAACTCTGGGTTAAACTCTTTAATGGCCCCACAGAGGGTTGCTGTTTGGGCTCACTGAAAATACTGCCAAGGCTGCTGTGTCCACCAACTGCCGAGCAGCACTTCTCCATGGAGGTGAGCAGATTTTTCCAGTAAACACTGACTGCTCCTGGTAGCCCGTCATTTTGTCAAACAGTTGAGCCATATCTACTTTTATCATCCTACCTTCTGGACTTCCTTTAAGGGTCAGTTTTTCTTACCTTGTTTTACTTATATCCATCAATGCTTTCTCACCCTCACTTCTTTACTTTCTGTAGCTTACGAAATGAATATAGATTATATTAAAGAAATAAATATTAAACATATTCTCTCAAGCTATATGTGTGTGTTCCCCTGCCCACATTTTGACAGGCTTCCTGTCTCTTTTCTCCTTTCTCTTCTCCAGAAGGCATGCCTTCCCTGTTGAAAGTCACTGTTTTAGGACACCAATATGTTAAAAATATATGTTGTCATTTATTAGGAAAACAGGAAAAGCAATTGTGTTTTTCAAAATCTGGTGAACAAAACTAAGACTAACTTTTGCATTTATTACAACTCAGGATGTTTCTTATTTTTCTTTACATGATCAAATATGTACAGACTGTACGTTTTTAGGAGTTATTTATTTATTTACTTGAGGGGCAGAGACATAGAGACAGATAGAGGTACCTCCCACGCATTGGTTCACTTTTCAAATGCCCGCAGTGGCCAGGGTTGGACCTGAGCCATTGCCTGGAGCTGGGAACACAAACCAGGTCTCCCATGTAGATGGCAGGAACCTAATTACTTGAGCCAACACTGCTGCCTCCCAGGAGCTGTATTAGCAATATGGGACATAGACGTCCTATCCAGTAGGCTAAACTCCCACCCCAGTGCTGCTTGTCACGGGGCAGCAGGTCCGATAGAGCTCCTCAGGGCCAGCCTGGGGAGCTCAGAGGCCGAGCGGGATGATGAGGAAGGAACCACACCAGAGCTGGGAGATCAGTCAAGGCCCAGGGGAGGGGAAGAGCTTTTATAGACACAGAAAAGGAGCTGTCCAGGCCACAAGGGAACCAGCTGAAAGGTAAGGCAGGGCACGCCCTCAAGGGCCTATCACAGCCAAGGACACACACTGTTCACGACTACAGAAGTCTCCTGTCAGGCTAGGTACCTCCCCCGGGGTCCATCTTGGGTTGTTGGAAACGCTGAGTCACTGGGATGCGGAAGTGTGGCAAACTCAGCGGCCTTTTAACAACTTTTTTTCCTTTTCAATTGGAGCTCCCCCTACACCTCAGGCTGTATATCTTTTTTATCTATGTTTTACTTACGTATCTGTACCTCTTCACCTGAATTCCACTACTAGAATCCACTAGAATTTTATGATAAAAATTAAACTAAAAGTATGTGGTATGCCAAAACTTTGGAAAAATGAAGTTTCAGTAGAGCTTACACCCAGATGAATTGTAAGTGTCACAATAGGTTGCTGCAGGGGCTGATGCTGTGACCTGCACAGCTGCTTGCAATGCCAGTATCCCATATGACAGTGCTGGTTCGAGTTCTGGTTGTCCCACTTCCATTAGGAGTGAATTACAGGGTACTAATATGTGTGCTATCTGTGTATATCAAGAAAAACTATATTGACAGTGAGTGGTGTTGGCATTGGCACCCATAGCAGTTCACTTTGGTTTTATCACTTACTAGAGTGTAAGCCAGTATGATGTTTGTTAAACCATGTCTTTATAAATTATATCCTAATTTCAGGCACTATGGTTTCCTTGTTTGTTTTACAGAAACCAGAAAAACTGCTTTTGGAATTATCTCCACCGTGAAGAAACCTCGGCCATCAGAAGGAGATGATGATTCTCTCCCAGCTTGCAAGAAAGCGAAGTGTGAGGGCTGAAAACACACTCCAGCCTCCACAGCCTCCCTTGTGTCATTCATCAGCCACAACAAAAATAAAACCTGGATTGTCGTTTGCAATTCTCATTTGAAGCTAGAAATCAAGTCTCTAAAAAATTTTACATTCAGTCATTTAACAATAAGCAGAACCTAGTGCAGCCTTTTTAAAGGCTGCCGGCTTAATGAATTTAGAAACATTTTAAGAGGAAGACAGACTGCTTTATTCGTCCTTTGTGTATGTGGTAAATAACAGCAGTAGACTTGCATAAGATGTTTCAGTATTTCAGGACACTTTCAAAATGTTTCCTGTTCATTTAAAAACTCATGCCTTCCTACTTGTTATATACAGTGGCTTATTTTTTAATCTTACCACTCAAGAAGTAATTTTGAGGACTATTAAACCTTACATTAAGAGGGTTACTTAATTGATCTATTCATGTTTTAAGCTTTTCTGTCAGTGTATTTATCAAGTTAGAGTTCTTTCTAAAAGGAATTGCCATAGAATTTATGGAAGGAGAGAAGATACACATGTAAAATTAGACTTGGCCTCTTCCTTCACTGCTTACTTTGTGATATCTTTGAAATAAGATTACTTTTGGTTGGAACCCCTGGAGGCCTAATGCTGATTTCCCTAGTAGCTGTATTAAAATTATCAAAGCATAGGAGAGGCATTTGGCATCGCAAATCAGAGTGTCTGGCTCAAGTCCCAGCTACTTAGCTTCTCGGTCCAGTTTTCTGCTAATACACATCCTTAAGAGTCAGCAGCAAATGGCCCAAGTACTTGAATACCTGCCACCCCATGTGTCAGGACCTCCTGACTTCAGCCTGGCCTCTTTGTTATCGGCGTCTGGGGAGTAAACCAGCAGATGGAAGATCTTTCTCATGTCTCTCTGCCTTTCAAATCAAAACAAACACAAATTTAAAAAAAAATATGTATCAAAGCAATAAACTCAACTAACTAGAAATAATTCTTTTCATAATAGCAGTATCATCATGTTAAGTAAAAGTAGCCTTTTGTGCACATACTTGCATTTGTGCTATATTGATACACAATACACAGTGGGATAGAGAGATACAATTGAGTAAGAATTGTTTGTTTTGTTTTGTTTTTAAGGTTTATTTATTGGAAAGGCAGAGTTATGGAGAGGTAGAGGGAGAGAGAGGTCTTCCTCCGCTGGTTCACTCTGCAGATGGCCGCAACGGCCGAAGCTGTGCCGATCAGAAGCCAGGAGTCAGGAGCTTCTTCCTGTCTCCCATGTGGGTACAGGGCCCAAGGACTTGGGCCATCTTCTAATGCTTTCCCAGGTCATAGCAGAGAGCTGGATTGGAAGTGGAGCAGTTGGGACTCGAACCGGTGCCCATATGGGATGCTGGCACTGCAGGTGGTGGCTTTACATGCTATGCCACAGCGCTAGCCCCAGAATTTTTCTGAAATGAGAAAAAGAACATTATTTTGAGGGTCAGAGACAACGTACTTATGAAAAAGAGAAAAGTTGGGGCAGGTGTCTTGTCGTAGTAGGTTAAGCCTCCACTTGAGACATACATATCTCATATTGGAGTGCCTGTTCAAGTCCTATCTGCTCTGCTTCTAATCTAGCTTCCTGCTAATGCATCCTGGAATGCTAATGAGCAGATGATGTCACAAGTGCTTGGACCCCTGCCACCATTGTGAGAGACCCAGATGAAAGTTCCAGACTGCTGGCTTCTGCCTGGCCCAGCCCTAACTGTTGCAGGCATTTGGGGGAGTGAACCAGTGGACAGAAGATCGATTGATCAGTCAGTCTCTCTTTCTATTGCTCTGCCTTTAAGGTAGTTGAAAAATAAATAAATAATAGATGCCTTTTAAAAAGAAGGCTTTATGCCAATCTCTTATGAATGTAAATGCTTAAATAAAATGTTAGATAAGAGAAACCTTTAAAACAACATGACCAGGTAAAATTTATCCCAGGAATATAAGAATATCTCAGAATTGGATTATTTCAGTTCTTTTAAGGTAGTTTACTTTATCATATTAATAGGTCAGATGAGAAAAATTAGAAGCCTAATAGATGCCAAAAATACATTTGATAAATTTTAATACCTCCTATTTTTAAAAATACAATAGGGAGTAGGCATTTAGCCTAGTGGTTAAGATGCTTACATTCCATATTAAAGACCTTTGATTCAATTCCTGTCTCTGGCTTCTGACTCCAGCTTCCTGCTAATGCAGACTCCAGGAAGCAGCTGTGATGGATCAAGTAGTTAGATTCTTGTCACCCACATGGCATACCTGGATTGATTTCCTGGCTCCCAGCATTTGGCCTGGTCCAGGCACAGCCATTGCAGACATTTAGGGAGTAAGACAGTAGATAAGAATTCTCTATCTCTGCTTCTCTGTCTCTCCCTTTAAAAACAAAGCAAAAACAATAACAGTCCATGGAAAAATACAAATAGAATATTGTACACACATAGGTGGTCTTCAAAAAGTTTGTCTTATGAAATGTGTCTTATGAAAAAAGTGTGCATGAATTTCCAAAGTTTTTGCACCAAAACAAACTCACACTGACTTTTTATAACATATCTGAACAGGATCTACTTTGAAGTACTAAGAAAGGTAAGGCATCAGTTTGAAAAAACACCTCAGCCAGCATTGTGATACAGTGGGTTATGCCACCACCTGCAATGCCAGATCCCATGTGGATGCTGATACAGTCCAGCTGCTGCACTTCCAATCCAGCTTCTTGCTAATATACGTGGGAAAGCGGAAGATGGCCTAAGTGCTTGTGCCGCTGCCACCCATTTAGGAGATTGAGAAGAAGCTCTTGGCTCTTGGCTCTTGGCTTTGGCCTTGCCCAGCCCTGGCTGTTGCAGCCATTTGGGGAGTGAACCAGCAGATGGAGGATCCCTCTCTTTGCATATGTCTGTCTCTAACTGCCTTTCAAATAAATAAACAGATTTTTTTTTTTTTTTTAAACAGCTCCTACTGGTAGCATACTGAGTTCGGCTGAAATTGCAGCAAGAATAGGCATTAAAATTAGGGGGAAGCTTAGGTGGTAGAAGAGTGAAATTATTAATGATGCTTTATGAAAAGTTTATGGGGGTGATGCTCCACAGAAATCAGCAGTTTACAAATGGATATAGACAAGACAGTGTTGAAGATGAAGCCCACAGCAACAGGCTAGCCACATCAATTTGCAAGGAAAAAGTTCATCTTGACCATGCCCTAACTGAGGGAGGTCCTCATGATTAACTCCGGAAGCAATAGCATAGATGTTTCAACTGCTCCAGCTGACGCAAGTCTGACTGCAGAGTTAAAATAGAGCAGACTTGCTGCTGTGTGAGCACCAGAACTATTGCACCCAAATCAACTGCAGACAACAGCTTTCGATGGACATTTGAAACAACTAGGATCAAGATCCTGAAGCATTTGAAGAACTGTAGAAGGAGATGGAAGTGCTACCTTACTGGTACAGTGTGGGCCAGGCAAGAGCAAAGGTCATGGTAACAGTCTTGGGTTGCTAAAGGCATTCTGCTTGATGACTTTAGAGCTAAAGAATAACATCTGTTAATTGGGAGGAAGTTTTGAGAAAGTTAGATAAAACTTTTTAGAAAAATGCTTGGGAAAGCTTCACCAGAGAGTCCCTCACCCTGACAGTGCATCTGCTCACTCCTCTTGTGACAAGGATATTTGGAGAGGAGTTTTGATGGGAAATCATTAGGTATCCACTCTGTAGTCCTGATTTGGCTTCTGACTTCTTGTTTCCTTAAAAAAAAAAAATCTTCAAAGGGCACACATTTTTCTTCAGTAAATTATGCAAAAACTGCATTGTGTAAATGCATGGTGCCCATATGTAATGTGCACAAATAGAGTGCCATGAGATTAGGAATCCTGTTGATTGCTTCCTTCATTTTTCATTTTTATATTGGGTTAATATTTAATATTCTTTTAAGAGGAGAGAGGACATTTTTCCATTTGGGCTTTGGGTGGTAGATAAAGGCAGTATAATGAATATTATGACATGGGTGGGGGGAGTACAACAAGACACACCTTAGCGGAACCAAAAAGCAAAGGATTCAAGATTGGCTTCCTCAAGGAAATAATAGCTCGACCAAAGGGGAAAGACAAGGAGAAACGATGTGATGGGGTCGGGTGCCAGGAGAACCTTCCACAGAGCTGGCACAGTGTGAGCGACTTGACCAGATTTGTGTTTCAGAAAAAGAACCCTGGCTTCAATGTGGAAAACAGCCTAAAGGCCAGGAGCCCTAACAGGGATGTTTGAGTAATCCAGCTGAGAAATAAAGGTCATCTGAGGCTGGTGCCGCGGCTCACTAGGCTAATCCTCCGCCTGCGGCGCCGGCACCCCAGGTTCTAGTCCCGGTTGGGTTGGGGCGCCGGATTCTGTCCCGGTTGCCCCTCTTCCAGTCCAGCTCTCTGCTGTGGCCCGGGAGTACAGTGGAGGATGGCCCAAGTGCTTGGGCCCTGCACCCGCATGGGAGACCAGAAGTGGCACCTGGCTCCTGGTTTCGGATCAGCATGGTGCGCCGGCCTCGGCGGCCATTGGAGGGTGAACCAACGGCAAAGGAAGACCTTTCTCTCTGTCTCTCTCACTGTCCACTCTGCCTGTCAAAAATAATAATAATAAGGGTCATCTGAACTGGGCAACACATGCTTGCGATTGGACGACTCAAGACAGATTACACAGCTGCTGGGGTAGCATACTTGCTAAGACTTGGCAGTTGACCCAAGGAGAGGAGGGGCCAGCACTATGGTGCAATGGGTTAAGGCATCACCTGCAGCACTTTCATCCCATATGGACACTGGTTTGAGTTCTGTTGCTCTACTTCCAAGCCTACACCCTACTAATGGCCTGGGAAAGCAGCAGAAGATGGCCCAAATGCTTGGGACCCTGCAGTCATGTGGGAGACCTGGAGGAAGCTCCTGGCTCCAGGCTTCAGCGTGCCCAGTCCCGGCTATTGTGGCCATCTGGGAGTGAATCAATGAATGGAGGATCTCTCTCTTCCCCCTCTCCCTGTAAGTGCCTTTCAAATAAATAAATATTTTAAAAAAAAAAAGAAAGAAAAAAGAGGAGGAGTGAGGAAAAGAAGGT